AATCCATTGTGGTGGTGTATAGAGCCAAAGATGTTAGAATTGTGTCGATGTCCCAATATTTCTGGACCTGACTGGCATTGCTGTGGTGGAGATGTCAGGACCAAAATGAGGAGGAACATTTCCCCAAAACCGTAGCGTTGAATGGCAGTGGAAATTCAAATGTTTTTGAACGCCCGGTCTTCTTTTTAAAGCAGCAATGCATTTCTTGGAACACGCCAATGTGTTTGCATGTGTTTTACTTTGCAAATAAAGTGTAGGGCTAAAATACGTGCTGTTCTCTTTGGGTCTATTTGGAAAAAGGATAGAAAAGTGTGCCGAATTTAATATAGTGTTTGAAGATCCCTACAAATGATCTGCTTGGTTCGGTAACACAACTACTGAAGCCACATAGTTATAGTTCGATCCGGATGGGAAAATTAGAAAGTTTTGGAGAGAGACGGATTTTGGTTCCTGCCCTGAAATGCTTTAGGGACAGATCTTCCACCACAGGCAAAACATTTCAACGGTGGCAGGACTTAGAATGGACTGTATTTAAGTCGCTTTTAGCTTTTTCAACTTAAAACGGTGCCGCTGGAAAGTCTGATTCAGTGACTTGCAAAACTTGTGCCCGGAGCAAAGTTTTGCACGAGATCGTTTGTGGAAATGGGAGCTTAGCAGGAAGAATGCAACATTGGGGTCCATTCTCCCAAGCTAAACCTGTCCGCCCCACTTCATACGATAAGCCCCAAATTGAGGAAAGAAAGTGCATTTTTGATTTGGCCAGCCTGCCGTGAAATTGCGCTGCAAAATGGCACAGGGAGAGAATTAGCTAAGAGAACGGACTTTATTGCACAGGTTGAGATACTCAGATGGTGTTCGGCAACTAAATCAGAGGGTCTTCAAGTCGCTATCTCCCCCCCCCCGTTTTGTTTTTAGGATGAAGAGAAATTTAACATTCTAAAGAGCTGGTTTTTTCCCCTTCTCCCCCAAATCAAACCATCCTCCCAACTTAACACCCCTCCTTGGAGTTCGTACGTCCAGCAACAAAACGTTTCCATGCCACAAACATCCCATTTGAAAACCCCGTCGAATCATTTTGAAAAAGACACTGGCTCGTTCGGAGAAGTGCACAAAATTCAGTCGGGGTTAGTGAGCTCGCTGGCCAATATTCTGAGAATTTGCAGATTTTTTCTTTTCAGAGTTTGCTCCCAGGTGGGGGTGGTCTTTAGAGCCGACCAAAGGCTGCTTTCAAATCCCACCCGTTGCCGTTGGAAGATTAAAGCCACTGTATCAGGAGGACAAAGACGGGCCGTTGAGCAAGGAAGGAATGGGATTTAGCAAAACGAGCGATCGAAGGGGGGAGATCCTGAAAGGGTCTGGATTTGCGTTGGAGGCGGTGAGCGAGGATGGTCTGGGGATAGCAAGGGGGCAAGAGCCACGACCCTCGGCCTCTCCCCCAGCCCCCAGGCTCTGAAATCGAAAAGAAGGACGTCCCCAAAGCACGAAAAGTGGACCGAGCTAATACTTTGCCATGTCTCCTTTTTTGAGGATAATCTGCCTTTGCCACGGCGTGAGTTTGTTCTCGTCGAACCCAAGAGTCTTTAGCTTTGCAGCCTGTTCCTTCTCCTTCTCCTCTTCTACCCGTCGCAGTTTTTCTTCCTCTTGGCTGTTGGAAAAGAAAAGAGAGGCTGCCATGGTTAGCACAGTGTTTCTCAACCTTGGCAACTTTAAGACGGGTGGACTTCAACTCCCAGAATTCCCCA